ATATATATATATATATATATAACAACAAAATATAATATATTATATTGACATCTTACTGGTTTTAAAAATGACATAATTTTCAATCATTCAACACTCCTATTAAAAAGTGTAAATAGCAATACCCTTATTAATTCGTACCAAATATAATTAATCTATGAAGATGAATAGTTTAATGGTATTTTTAAGAAGCTTTTAATAAATAGATAATGTTTCTATATTGTATATAATATAATAGACAAAAGAAATATAAGTTTGCATGTATAATAATTTTAGAGTCGCTTAAAAATCTATTAATAAATATTTTTATTAGACAATCTTTTTTCAGGAACATTACTTCACTTTTAATACTTATCTATTTCATTAATGCAATGCCATATTGCGATGTATCTTTCAAAAGTGATTTAATTACATCAATAACTGCTTTTATCTATACTATATTATAAAATATTTGACAAAAATTCTTAAAAATCATTTTTTTATGTATAAAATATTATATATTAATACATATTACTTAAAATTCAAGATTACAAGTAACTTATAGATAAGTACAGTTTATTAATGCTCCATGTTTGAATTCGCATAACTAACTGCGGATAAACATAACCAATTAAAAGATAAACATCTCATTTTTAATATAAAAAATCTAAAATATAATTAGGATAATTATCAAGTTATAACAAAATAATCAATTATTGTATTTATAAGAAAATTATATTATTAAACCAAATATAAATTACTTCGTTATTAAACCTAAATTAAATTATGATAAAAAAAATTGAATTGGAAAATTACACAAAAAATAAGAATTTTAAATAGTTATTTTGATACTAATATCGATATATTTTTGTCAAATTTTTATATATCTTCAAATTTATATTTTATTCAAAAATAAAAACATTATCGTTTTTTTCAAAATCACATAAGACCATACTATAACAGCGATTGAGATAAAGAATAAAATGAAATATTAAAATCAAGATATATATCTCACTACATTGCGCGAGTACCATTCTAATAATTTATAGTACATATTTTTATTTTACTATAATTTAATCTTATATAGTGGAGTTATAATATTTAATTGGACACGCCACTCCAACATTCAAAACCTAGTGAGACATGTTTGCTCATTAAAATTATATGTTTATTTTCTTACCTCTAAAATCCGAACGAAAATAAATATATAAAGTATAAATACTAAAAACTCTGATTAATATTTTAAGTTAAAAAATGTAATTTAAATTTAATTTTTTTTTATTTACTCTTTTTAATTTTTTATGTACATAAAAAAATTAAAAATTCTAATTTCATTCTCTACTTCCTCCAGCTTTTCATCTCCTCGACCTTGAATCTGGTCTTTCCATGTTTTTGTTACAGGTTGATTGCATATAGTTATTCGTGAAGGAGGAGATGATGGATAGTATTGTTTAGACTTCTTATTTCACCGTAACATCCTTTCTTCATATCGAAAGTAAGCAATAGATTGAGAGAGCATCAAAAGAAGCAACAAAATATACGTATTAAAAAAATTACTTAAGTCTAATATATAAGAAGCATTAAAAAATGAACGTTTTATTGATTTATTACAAACATTAAAATAGTTTTTCAACTTATAAGCTAGTTTCGCTTATTAAACGAAATTTTTTGGGGATATTTTTCAATAAGCTTAAAAAATATGCTAGTTTATGTAATCAGATATTGCCTTGGTCGACGGCAATAAACACAAATTAGAGGGGGGGGGGGGATAAATCGTTTTTTTAATGATTAGGGTATATGGTATTTCATGAAGTCTAAAAAGCCTAACGACATGTTGTTAACAGTTTAATGAGTTTAATGTTACTCATAGTTTATTCAGTCGCATATATATAATTGTTTATTAGTGACTTAATAATGTAGAAAATAGTTTATTAGGTAAATTTATAGGGAGAACTTTATGCAGAAAAACAAGTTTTATTTCCAAACTTGTCCTCCCAATTAAAAAACATGTTTATTCCATTTATGAAAAACTCTCTCAAGCAAAAACTCTCCCAATCTATATAAATAGATTAATCCACTCATTTAACGTTATCTATATATATGACTTAATAAAAATTCAACCAAACAATCCCTAAGTCTATCATCACTTATACAAAATCGATAATAGTTTTTCCTTTTAAAAATTGATGTGACTTACAACAAAAATTAATATCACTAAATAATAGAATTGAATATAGAATATATATATATATATATATATATATATATATATATACATTTTTAAAAAAGTTTGGTAACATAATGATAAAGTTAATTTATTAAATAAGACAAATTTACAGGTTGGGAAAGTCAGCCTTTTGTGCACCCTAGGTTAATCGAGTTTTTGTGTACCCCTAGTAGCATGTACTATAGGTGAATAAATTGAACACAAATATATAAGTTATGTTTGGCAAACCAATTGATAAGCAAGTTAATGGTGATAAGCTAACTGATAAGATAGTTGATACATAAATTATAGAAGTAAGTAAAATGACCAAAAATGACATCTTAAAACAATAGTAATTACAAATATTTCATAATATAATTAAAATAAATTTTTAGTAATATAATTAAAATAAATTTATAATAATATAAAATGTCAATTAATACAA